AATACAGTCCCATGAGCACGCAGAGTCAAAGGGGCTCAAGCGGAGGAGGAACCGATCCCGCCCAGTAGCATCGCGCAAGTTTCTGCAGTACTACACGCCGCACAAGGAACCGTTGCAAATCCAAGGGAGGAGGCCCACGGGGTGGTGGGGGCGCATCTCCGAGTCGGAGCAGACAGAGTATGGTGTAGATTAGTGGATGTAGATGGAATTGCGACCAACACACTGACCAGCCAGACTGGGATTTCGATGCGTAGATAGTAGAGAAGGGTGGATGGATATGAGGCTTTCCAACAGGGCGATAGATGGGCATGAGTAGATGGCGGGAATCGTTGTGAGATACATTATGTCAATATCAAGTCTCTTCGGAAAATGAATGATTGAGAGACAGACGGACTGTTCCTTCACGAGGGGCTCAGATTCGAGCGGTTTGGACTTCCACCCACTAATTTAGGATTGAACTTTGTCGAGAACGACAAAAACTCTGCATCCGTATTTCACGACAGCTCTAGTCTTTTTCCTGAATGCGTGTCCTGACAAAGTTAAAGTATGCGTTTAAGTTCTTAAGATTTTTCTTTCCTTCTCTCATGACATTGCAAACAGAAAGAGAACATGTTGTGTCTCTCTGTTGGAAGCCCTTAGCCTTTGAGACATTCCTCTAGGGTCACAAACTTATATCCTTTGTCATGGACAAGCTGGATAATTTCCGGGAGTGCGTCGATAGATTTCGTCTCCAACATATGGGTTGAATCGTGCATCAGGCAGATCTGCGAGGACGTAACATCTTCAGCATCAGAAAGCCGAGATTCCACTGTGCCACGATCTTCTTTCGACTTCACATCCAAGTCGACAGACCAGCCGACAACTGTCAATTCGTATTCATCGGCTATTGGAATCAAATTGCCACAGTCCCCACTGAAAGGACACAGAGAGTCACGGGACATAGTACTCTGGCTGAAAGAAGAGATTATGAGCTCACTATGGCGCTCGAATATACCGGCTCCCATGTCCCAGTTGCTCATGGAAGATTTTCTCGGTCCGTTCGATTTGACGTCGGATCTCATCATCGCTCAACTCGGAGAGACGGGAATGGTCCCATGAATGGTTCTCGATCACATGTCCTTCCAGGACGCACAGGCAAAATGCGCGCATGTTGGTTTCCTTGGTCTCTTACCTTCCTCTTCGGCGCGCTTCAGCAGCGAAACAGATTCAGGGTCACGGAGGTATTCCCCAACGACAAACAAAGTTGCTCTCACGTGATGGTCTTTCAACACATCCAACATCCGCTCGAAGTTGTCGGTTGGTGCGTCGTCAAATGTCAGCGCAAAGAGGCCTGCACGACAGGCGGGCATTCCGTCCTCGTTTCTTCTGTGTAGTCAATAAACCTGGTTGTTTGCAATTTGTCAGCCCCTCATGCGAAGCCTCCCGTGAAGCGGTGAGACTGGTTTGCAGGTGGCGGGACAGTGTCACGTTCTTGCCTGACGCGCGCATACATCGCCCTGCGGAGAATCCAGCAAACCACACCAGAAGAAGGACGAGTACTGCCTGTGCCATTGAGAAGATGAATTTCATCATCGGAATGCGGCTCGTAAGTTGCGATTCACGGTCTGGTCGTCCCCCTTTCATTTCAACGCATCCATTCACGGACTTTGACTTATTTATCTGCACTGTAACGGCGAGCGTGTTTTATGCACGGGAAGCCCCCCTGGACCTCCTTGAATCCGCCCCCAAGCGGTCTCCGCCAGAGCAATCCTTGTAGCTATTTCGAAAGATTCCCTTAGCGAGGGCGTATCCCTGGGACGAGGGCTGGACGAGGGAGACACCGTCTGTCCGTATCAACGGCAGGGCTCCAGCAAGGACCGTTCTGCAAGGTGCATCCGGATCCATGGGGTCCGCCTCTCTCTCAGACGACATCCATCTACCGCAGGCAGCATTTCGCACACGCGTACTAACATACACAGCTGGGCTCCCCCTGATCGCCGCGAGATATCATTCTGACAAGACATTTGCCCTAACCTAGCCTCGATTGTTTGGGACACAAAAGCTTCAATCAACCAAGAGAGCCTCCAAACTCCACGCCGAAAAGAAACGCAACGAACACTTTTGTCCGGAACGAGTGTCATTGTCCATCAAAGCACAAGTGAGCCGCGGGAAGTCTTAGAGAAATGCAACCAGAGCGACGCTCTTATTACACGACGTAATACCACACAACTCAGCCATGGACAGCCCTTCTTCCTGGCCTCGAGTTTTCTGTCTCTCCTTTTGCAGCCTTCATCACCAGTAAGGAAAGCACCTCTGTTTCTCGCTTAGCCGTGTCTCAGAAGGCTCCTCAATCAGTTGCTTCGTATCTTGACGAGCGCTCGCCGGCGCAAAAAAAGTGCACCATTTTGCGCGGCCATGAAAGGGTACGCCATGAGAGTGCACTGACCAAAAAGCCCGGTCGTTTTAGGCCAGCCAGCCCGTGGCACACGAGATTCGAAGATAACGAGACGCCAGGGTTTTCGCTGTATACATATGTGGTAGTAGGTATGCCCACAAGCAGGAGATCTCAGCGTCTTTAGTTCATGAGTAATGCTGGCATCAGAAAACACCGGTTTGTGGCAGTTTTTTGAATGCTAAAGTATACTTGCGGTTTTTGACGCAGGCATACTTCAACTTGGGTCGTGACACGCATCAGAAAAGGAAACAGATTAGAGCTGTGCATCCCGGCCTACCTTCCCGCCGGGGTTCAGAATGCTTCAAATGTGACATATATTAGGCACAGATGATCACTTACTCGACATTATTCTGTGTATCGTCGCGAAAAACGACGGCAAAAAACCCGGAAAATCGGTTTCTGGCTGTTTTCTCTCGGGTTTCTGGTGGGTTTGACGCGCAAGTCTGTGTGTGAGTGCTCCTCCCTCTGCTCTGTCCTCACGCAAGCGGCCATCCCTCTGCCTTCTGTGGAAAACGAGAACCAGCCACACCCCGTTGAAGCCTCCTCTTCTGATCGAGCAATTTTTAAAACGTCCTAAATGTGCCGAAAAACATTTTAAGACCGGCAAACCGGCGAAAAATATTTAGAAGGGGGGCAGGAAAGGCTATTTTGAGGCTTGTCTTAGCCACGTTTAAACCCTCTTCACTACGCCGCCTCCAAACCAGCCATCTCCATTTTAAAACTTCGCAAACCCCTCAAAAAATCAAAGGAGTAATTTCAAAAAATCTCAAATAAAATTAAATTCAGGGGAGTAATTTAAAAAGAACTCAAATCAAAGGGAGGAGGCTTCAACGGGGTGACCAGCCACCGAAAAGATGACGCTGCCGTCAACCCAAATCACCACAATTGTGTCAATGCATGATACATTTCGCTACGCTGTGTTCACACGCAAGCGCTAATGGCTTTTCGTTTCGTCGTAAAGAATGTTGGGTTTTGATAGCAGGGTTGCAGACCTGTCTCTCTATTTCGTGCTTTCCCGGTGACCGTTGGCAGCTCTCGTGCGTGTCTTGCTTGGCGGGCTGGCCATGCCCATGATGGACTCGTGCGTTGCGTGCCTTGCGTAAAGGCTTGTACGGCAGAGATTGATCCTTCTGACCACGGTGTGTGTTCCGGCACACAGCAACTTCAACAAAGAAGCAGGGCGAAAGTTTACACGGCCATCAACCCAAGCCAAACAATATATTGTCCACGGCACACTGCACACTGCTCTTCGCTCTGTTCGCACGCGAACGGCCGTCGCTCTTCGCCCCCGCAAACGAGACCATAGCCGCTGAAAACTTGCTCATCGCCAACTCAACCGGAATCGCCTTGCACACGTATTAAGGTCTGGTTGATGAAATATATGCGCACGGACACTGCGAGAGACGAGTTTGCTTCCAATTGCATTGCGTTCTCTCGTTGGCGCAAAAAGTGGCGAAAACTGGTGTCGATTCCACGGAATTCGGCGTTTTCTGCTGATTTCTCACGGGACTGTGATGCTTTCGATGCAAAAGCATGTATGTCTGATACATTTCGTCATGTTGTGTCTGCACGCCAGCGGCCATGGCCCTGCGCCGTTTTGAGAAAGGGAACCAGCCACCGAAAGTTGACATAGCTGCGATCCTCCATCACCACGATTGTGTCAATGCGTGATACATCTCGCTATGCTGTGTTCACACAAGCGGCCATCGCTCAAAGCCACCGAATTTTTACACAGCCGCCTAAACACGTGCGCCTAAATACACGAACGTATCAAATCATGATCCACCTCTCCCAGCTCTGTCGGCACGCAAGCGACCATCGAGGACTAGCCACTCAAAGTTTGCACAGTTGTGTCGACCCAAGCCACACGCAAACCAATCCATGGTCACTGGGCTAAGTAGGGCTAAGTGTGTGACTCGTACGTGTGTTTGTGTGTTTGTGCTTGCCTGTCTTTGTGCTTGTCGATTGAAATCGTGAGTGTCTTTTCATCAGAAAGTGTCTTCAGTGCATCGACGAAATGCTATCTCTGTAGCGTGCATCCCATCAAACGGCCCCCTTAAAATGGGCGTGGGTAGACGACCGCCATTGGTTGCTGCTAGTCGGTGGTCTCACGTGGAGGAGTTCGAGAGCCCGGGGGTACACTACATGCCGGCGTCCAGCAGCCGCACCACCTCGAGGGGCTCAGTTGCCAGTCTTTCATGTAGATCTTCTCAAGACGGTACTGCCTTCTTGTTGGCCATCGGCTATATCCTTATCGCTTCAAAATTGAGCCTCCATTTCGAACAGGTCAGATGTTCCATCAGCTGTTTGTCATCGGCAGCACACCACTCTGTTAGGTCTGCCTGAATCGGGATGAATTCGCTTTCTTCTTCCCCCAGCTCTGTGGATTTGAAGCGTGTGGATCACCGTCAGGGGTTACTTCATGCCGCTCTGCTCTTTTGGACCATGCATGTGCTTCCGCTCGGCCTCCGTTTGAGTGCCACCCCCGGCCAGAGCCATGTCAAAAACGCTGGGTGCACAGTGTTCTCTGCCTGAGCCTTTCTTTGTGTGTCGTTGTCAAGTGCCAAGTGTCTTCTACCGTACCACGATCTCAGTTCTGTCAGTCACACACATGGTGTGACTAACTACAGAGTCGGCTGAGACACTCTGAGACACGGCTTGTTGCGATGATTGGGGTTTGCAGAGAGGGAGAAAGATGCTCTGCCTATTTGTGTAAAGGCCTATGCACTTCACGAAAGAAAGGCCTAACAAGGAGAGAAAGTGGAGGTTTGACGGAAAGCCGACACTTTGATGAACCAACAGGGAGAGCCTTTGCAAGGCTGCGCTGCCTCGGCTTCGAAATCCGTTCTCGAATATGTGAGACATATCAACAAAGAAACGACGGCCGGACTGTACATGAGGAAAGGGTCAATGGATGCGTCGGCGAGTGTACGGCACGTGGATTGATAAGAACATCCATGAATGAACAGACATCGGCCGAGAGATGAAATCCAGGCAGCGTCAGTTGCGACACGAACAAAATCGCGGCCAGCCGTGAACTACAAGGCCGCCAACCGTGCATGCTCCAGCAGATCGCTCATTGCAACATCAGACCAGGCAGGCAGCTCGAAAACGTTCCCCCTACCAAAGCGATCCTTGCCTTCTGCGAGGCGTCTATTCCCATCGACGGAATCCTCCCAGGAAGAGACCCGCAAGAACCGAGACATCCGTATCCTCAGAAAGGTATCCTCAGCAAGGCTCAGCAAGGAAAATCCCTGCTCCGGTTCGCCTCCCGACGATATCCGTGTGTGAAAAAACTGTGCAGAATCTGTCTTTTTCCGAAGAGACCGATGCGGAAGGATGCAGCAAGGCCCTACAAGACACAGCTTCCGCTTACATGCACATACACTTCACATTCACGTGATCCAAGTCGCTGTCAGAGTAAATAAGCTCCTACGGATCCCTTGGCAGCTGCACCGCCAACAATGGCGTAGAGTTCTCTGTGGCATCTGTGAGCAGCAACAGCGCTTTATACCTGGACGGCTCAAGAGCGCGGGGGTATGGCAGGAAAACCAGAAAAGCAGCCACACACTCCAGCCGACCTTATAATCCACCAAGACTATGTTAAGTTGGCGAGCTTTGTGTGCGTTGTTTTGTGTGACCGTTGCCCAACGCTCTGCGATGCTGCCTGGCTTTTCTTTGCTGTTCTTCCTCTCGCCCCTCGCTGCCTCTGCTTGCGCAGTTCTTTGCTGATGAGCCACTGATGAGAGAGGACGTGCCTGTCGCCGCACAGTAGCGTACGAGTAGAGCAGTGCTGCTGAAGCGGAGGGAGATGTGCCTGCCATCTCCACCCTGGCGCTGGGAGACGATAGCGTGCCCGTCACCAGCAAGGTTTTTCCCGGTTGTATATAGCCCGGACTCTGTCTGTTCTTTGCCGTGCTCTTGATGATGTGGACTCTGATGCGGACCTCTGTGTGATGCTGTTGGCGTGAGGGCGAAATGAAGGCGAGATTCGAGGGCTCCGTCTGATCCTTCTGACCACGGTGTGTGTTCGGCACACAGCAACTTCAACAGACTAATGGTGTAGAACACCATCTTCGCCTGCCGTGCCGCCTCCTGGATGGCCGTCCTGATGAAGGGGGAGGGGCGAGGGGGGAATGAGTCGGCGTAGAAGAGGGACATGTCGAAGTAGCTGCCAGACGATCTCACAGAGATGGGCACGTCCGGCGACACGCAGCAGTTGTTGATCAAGTCATCGACAGCGAGCAGGGCAGAGAGACTGTCGTGGCTCTCAAACGATCGGATCTGCACGTCCAGCCGTGTCAGTGACTTGCGGCAGCCACGCGACGTGAGCACATCCTAGAAAGAAAGAGAGGACCAATTCGTTTGTGCACGCATGGATGAGCCCTCTGCTGTGTGATGATTGCTTACCTGCAGTCGCCTGACTCCTGCCAGTTGCTTCTCATTTGTGTCCCGGCCACGCTCACGGACAATCATCCCGATGGTCTGCAGGTGTCTGAGCGGCCCTGGCTGCCCAGCAGGTGCGACGGGGAAGTGCTCAAGGAAAGTCGCCCACTCCCCCCAGGTCCACCGACAGCCCCCCACCTCTTTCACCGAGGAGGACGACCTGATGAATCGGCCCAGCTCGTCGGCATCCCACCCCTCCTGATCGACATACTCGAGTGGAGGCATCTTCCAGCACGTGTGGACCAGCACACTGTGCTGTTGGACGACTCCTGTGATGGCCCTGAGCGCATGGAGGGTCGGTCGTGGGGCGGCGAATGAAGGAGGGATCGGGGGACGGTGCTGCTTCACGCTGCTGGTGGTGCTGCTGGTGCTGATGGGGGTGGTGGTGAAGTCGATGGTCTCCAGACTGCCCTTCGCCGTGTGGTGCTGCCCCTCCTTCACGCACGCCTCGCGCCGCCCGTCCGCATGGCCCTCCACGATGCTTATCATGCTGTCCAGACACCACAACCGGTCGCTCTGTGGCTGCACAAGGCTGAGGGCTGTCAAGTTGGGTAGTCGCTTGCCGAGCTGGAAGGCCTCCAAAGGCGTCATACTCTCCCAGAAGTGACGGTCGGCATCGGTGGTGCAGTCGATGTTGATGTGGGTCTGCTGGTGAAGGGCGGCCGCGTAGATGGGGGAGGGGCTGCTATGTGCGGCACCGCCGGGTCGTTGCTGCCCGAAGGCCGCACCGCCAGACAGGCTGTCGCCAGTCGAGAATGACGCTCCACTGAAGACAGATGACGCCGCCACACCTGATTGTCCGCACACATACGCAGCCAGCAGGAGATTGATCCATCCATTCAGCCATCCATCTGTGGTGACGTCTGTGGTGCCCCCTGATGTCACTCACCGGTGCCCGCAGAGATACTGCCGCCGAACGGGCCGAATATGGCACCCGTCCCCGTGGCAGCCCCTCCCTGGCCAAACAGACTCCCTCTGCCAGTGCCGCTGCCACTCGACCCGACTTCGCCGAAGAGAGAGCCACCTTCTGACGCTGCTCCGGCACCAAACAGATCACTACCTCCTCCCCCTGTGGATGCCTTGCCGAACGAGAATGGACCGCTGGTGGGTGTGACTGTCGACTGTGATGTGGTTGCTGCTTTGGCAGGCGCGAAGATGCTGCCACCGAAGCGGTCCATTGGGGCTGTGGTGGTGGTGGTGGGCCCGGCGCAAGAGGCGGGCGAAGGGGCGCCCCTTAGGCCGTCGAGCACGTCGGTGCTTGGCTTGGGTGTGGGTATGGCTGCGGCTGATGACGCAGCTGCCGCAGCACTCGACAGGCCCCCCTCTCCCGTCGATGTGCCGATCAGAGATTGTCCGCCAAACGGAGAGGGGAGCGATGCCGCACCCGGCAGCACCCTGCTGGCTGTGTCCTCCTTCGATGCCGCCATGGTCTCGCCCTTCTTGAGGGGTCCGAAGGTGGCACCCGCACAGAGCGGACCGCCATTGGTCGACGGCAGGGCGGGAGACGATGTGATGGCCGGGAGGGGTGGATCGGTGCCGACAGAGCCGCCAACGGATGAGAGACGGCTGACAAGACCACAGAGGAGAAGAAGTGGGTACATCGCTCTAGGCATTTAGTTCCCTCCCCTCTGCTCACTGACTTGCGAGATACTCTGAGTATGGGCTTCTCTCTGCGAGACTTCTCGTCGGGGATCGCATTCGTTGCAGGTTCGGTGCTGTGAGGGGGTGGGAAGAGGGCCGACAGCTCGCGAGGGGTCATGAAGCTAAGCAGTGACGCCACGATGTCTTCGCCGAAGCGTTCAGGTGCCTGAGGCAGACACATGACCAAGGGAAACAAGGCGGCATGAGAGTGGCTGACATCATTTGTGTGTGTCGTGTGTCGCTGCTTGTGTGCGTGTACCTTCTTTTTAACATCCCACACCTTCGCATAGGCAGCAAGGCAGACGGACACGCACCAAAGAGAAGCATCAAGCAGTGGTTTAGGGATTTTTTTGTTGAGGTGTGTTTACCTACCACGGGTGGCTGTGGGTTCGGGTTTGTGTGCGTGTCGGTCTGGTGCGGCACCACCACTTTGAACTCCTCCCGCCATCCGCCAACTTCCCTCATGTGGAGCGCCGTTCCCTCGTGCAGAGTGCCCTCCTTCTCGTAGACCACATGTGGGTCGATGCGATATACTCTGGCCGTGACCCACACATAGTCGTCGGTGGGAGCCCTCTTGGTGCTCGACAGCAGCACCACACGGGTGCCCTCCTGGTGACGACCGCTCGCCGAGTGCTCCATCACTTGACGAAACGAACGAACGACCAAAGGAATGAATAGTTCATTTGCACATCATGGGGTTGTTGTGTCTACTGTGCTGAGTCACCTCTGCCTGAGGCGGATCAGCTGATGAAGATGAAGCTGGAGCTGCCATGGCGTCACTCACACACGGCTGACGAGAAGAGCACACAAGCATGCATCACTGACGGCGTGATTTCTCGTCATAAACCATGTGCTCCTACCAGCGAGATTTGCCGAGGAGAATATGTGGACGATGGCCTCTCTGTCAGTGGAGCTTTTTATCGAGGAGGCTTATCTCGTTCCTCTCCCGAGCCGCGCCTCTGCGTCTGACAGGCAGCAAGCAACAACAGCAACAACAACACAATCACAGCCAGTCAGTGTGCCTCTGCAACCAAACTGCTTCACCCTGTTGCCTCGCTCACCTTCATCGCCCTGTCAGCCATGGCCTCTCTGCGATGAATATCCAACCAATCTGCGACACCAGATGAGTCGACTGATGATGCCGCAAGCCCTTGGAGTACACAGCGAGAGGAGAGAGAGCGTCAGGAAGAGCGCGAGAAATCCAAGCTCGCATGCGCAAGCTCAAAACTTCACTCGTGAAGCAAAGAGGCTGTTTCTCGCTTCCCTGATCTCCAACACGAGAGTGCTTTGCGTCGCCAGCACCAGCAGCGCACGAGATCGTCTCGTCATTCATCTGCTTCTCTCGCCGCATGCAGGCGTCATCATCGACCGGCAGCAGCCAGGCCACAGGAGGCACCATGAGTGGCGGCGTGACGCAGATCAACGTCGGCGGCTATGTCATGGTGTTCCCGAGTGGCATGCTGCTGCGCGAGGGGCTGCGGGGCACGTGTGTGGCGGTGCTGCTGCACCGGTTCGACGAGTGGATGCTCAATGATGCCGACGGGACGATCTTCATCGACGCAGACCCACTCTACTTCATATGGTGAGGGACGATGGGAGCATGCAGCCAATGACACTCATTCACTCACTCATTGACTCACTGCTCTGTGTGTGTGTTGGTTGTGTGTGTGTTGGTTGTGTGTGTGTCAGGTTGTCGGAGAAGCTCTGCCGTTTGATGCATGGGTGGGTCAACGAGATCAAGACGTTCGACGCCGTGCAGCCCATCCCCTTCTACCACGACATATTCTTCGCCGAGTCGCCCATCGCCATCGACAAACCGACTGAGGACAGCCAGAGCCAATCGGCATTCCGCAGCTTCATGGACATGATGGGCGCCTTCATCAAGTCGTCCATAAAGGGCGGCAGAGGAGGGGCGGAGGTGCTCAGTGTGACTGTCGGCGGCCGCACACTGGCGACCACCGATGCCACGCTGGCCGACTGCGACACACTCAACGACCGATTCACCAAGTGAGAAAGGCAAGGAGGAGATGACAGAGGCAGGTGTGGTGATCATTGGCTTCCCTTCTCCTCTGTGTCCTGTGTGCAGGTATGGTCGCACTCCCATCGTCGGTGTGGGTGCTCACCACGTCGACCTGTAAGCACCCAGACAACCACCAGAGGCAACAAAAGAGCTCATCTATTCGTCTGTTGGTGTCTTCAGGATCGTCGACTTCGCTCGTCGGTGTCGCCTCTCCCCCGATGGCGCCGTTGTCCCGCCGCCCTCGTGTGCCGACCAGGATGAGCTGGTGCGTGTGAGTGAGATGTACGGCGTCCTCGAGGCCATGTACCCCAACATCCTCGCCAACGCCGTCATGCAGACCCTCCTCATCATGATCGGCAAGAAACAACCTAAGATGGCCTGCCTCTTCAAGTGAGAACAGACAAATGAAGGACATCACGCCATTCTCTAAGCATTCGTCGGCACGTCTGGCTGTGTGGTGTGTGTGTCAGGACTTCGCTGCACGGTTCGTCGTATGCGAGTCTGGCGCCGCAAGTAGTGGGGCGCCGCGGCCTCCTCTTCGTCATCAAGTGCGACGACACCAACACCATTGCAGTCTTCGCCGACACCAAGCTGCACCTGCCGGCCGACCCAACATCTGAGCTGGCCTTCGAGTGCCCCGTGTCGCTCTTCTCGGTGTGCGGTGCGTTTGAGGAGGGCATCACCAAGATCGACCTGCCACAGGACGAGCAACATGTGGTGGTGGCGGGCACACAGGGGGCGGTGACGGAGGAGGACGGTGAGCCACGGGGCAAGGTGGCCATCGCTGACGGCCGTCTGTGGCTGGGGCGGGGCGAGCATGGCGGCCCGACTGACGACCTTCTCCGCTTCTATCAGTGGGTGGAGAAGAAGGAGCTGCCGGCCAACAGGAAATTTTGTGGGCAAGGCCATCAGCAGCAAGGCCGCGAGCCTCTGTGGTGCTGAGACCCACGACGTCGCCGTCCAGCGAGTGGAGCTTTTCCAGGTCTGTCAGCGAGGCACCGACCAGAGGGCACACAAGTGGCTAGGGATATCATCAGATGCTTCTCCTGGCTGTGTGCAGGTGTGGAGTGCTGTGTCGGCCGACCCCATCTTCTCTGCGGATGGCCTCCGAGCACTCGTCGACGCGACCGGCATGACGGATGCGACGCCACAACTACTCTACAAGTCAGCCACCGATCACAGGGAGGCTGTCGGTGACTCGTGAATCATATCCTTTTGCTGCTTTGGTGTGTGTCTGTCTATGTGTCAGGGGTGAGCGTGACGGCTGGGAGCCCGAGGCCATGTTCAAGAATGTCGGCGACGCCACCGACCTCCTGCTGCTGCTCAAAGACCCCAGCGGCCCCATCATCGCCGCCCACATCGAGGGCGGACTCTCTCCGCCCGCCGACCCCACTGGCGAGGAGACGACCCCCTGCGCTGTGTCGCTCTTCTCGGTGCGTGGCGCGTTCGAGGGCGACGGCATCACCAAGATCGACCTGCCCAAGAAGGCGCAGGTCGTGGCGGTAGCGGGCAGACAGGGGGCGGTGACGGACAAGGACGGTGAGCCATGCGCCAAGGTGTGCATCGCCAAGGGCCGCCTGTGGCTGGGGATCGGCAATCGCCGCCCGACAGGCGACCTTCGCAGCTGCCAGGTGTGGGTGAAGAAGGAGGAGCTGCCGGCCGACAAGAAGTACGTCGGGACCATTACCAACGAGGGCGAAGCCAGGCTGGCCTCCAGCTTCAACTTCACACTCGCCGATTTGGAGATCTACACACTGCAGGTCAGGGGAAAAGAAGGAAGACACACACACACCATGAACGGTGCGTCCGCCTCTCCCATCCTTTTCTCTGTGTGTGTTCAGCCATCTGCTGGGTGGCAGTGGGTGAGTGCCGTCGCCTCCTTGATGATGGACTCACGGCCGACGTGATAGCGCTGCATTGACATGTCGCATGGCCGAGTGCTTTAGCGCCGCCGGTGCAGACACACATCCCATGTGTGTGTATATGGAAGGGGGCGACTCGTTTTTGGCTGTCGGTGTGCACACAGTCTCTATCAGACCACTGGGGGCGGCGGATGCATTTAAGCGATCGCAGAGGATTCTCTCTATCAATGTGTGTGTCTTCATGTCTATAGCCAGCCGATGGAACCTATCCCTTTATCGACGGACTTCCATGTGTGTGGCGCGTCGCATGCCTCCGTGTGTGAGGCTGTGCAGACAATACCGACGCACTCTCATCTCGATGCTCATTTGATACACACGGTCCTTCACACACAGAGGCATGTAGCGTCCATCGACAGTCATGACCCACCCACCCACACAGCCGGTCTGGTCTGCAGATGAATATGTGGCGTGTGGGGCATCCCGCATCCATTCGTTGGCGTGGCTCTGCTGCATGCCTCATGTGCAGGTGGCACGAAGGCAAACAGCAGAGCCACGCCGTCGATGCGAATGAATGGCAACAAACCACACGGAGAGAGACGGGCAGACCACAGCCGGGCTGTCGCACCTGACAGACAGACAGACAGACAGACAGACAGAGTGCGGTAAGTCGTCACAAATATAAGGCAGCCAGGGCTGGTCAGTCTGTGTGGCCTTCACATCATTAGCAGCCCGATGGAGCAGCCATCCAAATCAGTGGGAGAGAGAGCGGGAGAGAGACGCAGAGAAAGATACAGGTACGGGCACACCGACAGACATCTTCAACGCTAACGAAGCAGTGACCAGAAGCTGCAACTAAGGAATTCACTGGTCATTGGAGTGGCCAGCACCGAAAGAGTCCTCGAGGGTCAGACATTCATCACGGTATCGACACAGTGGCAGTGTGCGTCACAGCACGCCCTCCCATATGCACAGACACACATACGCACAGAGATATCCACATGACTCAGTGAGAGGGCAACAAGCCCGCAACAGATCCTCCACACACTCATCTGTCGCTATCCCATCCCACTCCTACCCATTGCCCTCTTTGTCAGGGTCACGGCCTCCTGCAGTGCCCGGCCATACTTGAGCGCCTGGCTGTCGGTGACAGGCGGGGCCTCAAACAGATCCTGACACACACACACACACACACACACATCCATCGGTGCCAAAAGGGTGAGTGAGTGGGTCAGTGGTGGCTCACGGTGAAGTCGGTCTTCTTAGAGTTGTTGTCGACGGCCCCGAGGGCACTGCGGTAGTGGTGCAGCTTGGCCACAGTGGGCGGCATCATCATGCTCCGCCGCCTCCCCAGCATCTTCTGCGGATTGTGAATACCCTGCAAACATCCCCCACCAAACACACAAACCAAACACAGACACGATGGATGGCCTCTCCCCTATAGTCTCTCCATCTGCCGTAGCCAACTCACCATGCTGGCGACTCATCTGGGCATGATGATGCACTTGGTGCGGCTCTTGGGCTTCCCAATCAGCCCGGCGAGCTCAGTGCGGCGGGTGAACCTCTGGGTGGCGAACTGCGAAGACAGCCCGTCGGTCGGCCATTCGGTGAAGAAGAAATAAGTGTAGAAGCGGAATGCGCCGACGGCGCCATTGCCTGCATTGACCTCTTGGGCACGGATGGAGTCCAGGAGGGCAGGGAGGGGCGGAGGGGGGAGGCCGGGCGACACTGTCGCGTTATCACTGGGCAGAATGAACTCGTCTGTGTCGACGAGCGCCAGGTATCTGGCAACAATCAGATAGGCAGCTGTGCAGGTGGCCACACATGCCCTTCTCATGTCGCCCACCTGCTGTCCATTCGCCTGAGGTAGCAGTCCTGGACGAGGGCATTCTGCGCGAAGTCCCACACTTCATAGAAGGGAAGGACTGCACTCGGCAGCCGATAGGGCACCACCTCAAGCAGCCCCTCGCGCACATAGTGCTCCAGCAGCCGCACCACAGCACCACTCACAGGCACCGCACTCTCATAGAAGGTGAAGAACCGCGCCCCCAGCAGTCGCCACAGCTCAACGAACTCAGTCAGCGCGTCTGCATCATCGTAGACCTCCATTGCTGACGGCGATGCATCGGGGGTCTCGCCGGTGGCTGGTGGATGGCGTGTGAGTGTCTTGGGCACGCCCCACCAGGGACGCACACACACAGAGAGCTCCCGCGGTGACGAGCCTGGCGTGGCTTCACTCCCTGACAAGGGATACAAAATCCTGCAGCAAGCAGAAAACAAGACAAATAAGGGCCGACCTACGTGGTCACATGACGTCATTCTCACCTGACCGGCATCTCAATACGGCTCGAGGACGGAAGGTCAAAGAAGAGCTCCACTTCAGTAGGAGCCCTCACAGCGGGCGAGCCACCACAGAATAAGAAATGCGCCGCATAGGTCTTGTTGTGGTGCTCAGGCAGCCGCTCTGTCACCGCCGGCGTGTCGACGATCGTCTGCCCCTCCTCCCCATCACCAGTAGCCGTCTTCAGCCGACACTTGAGGTCATCAAGAGCCGCCAGCGGCCCCGTGCGATTGAGGGGAGCCATCCCAATGATGCGCACCGACGGCTCGGCCATGCGGGTGTCCCAGTAGGCCCGATAGACGTACAGATAGCCCTTGCGATTCGCCGCTTCAGAGGGGATGGGGAGGGCCTGCCAGTCGCCTTCCGATGCCCTGTCGGTCGTGACAAAGCCCTCGACGAATGACAGCTCCTCTCCTTGCAGCGACAACCCGACCGTTGCAGCACCGTGACGATCTGGGCCTCTTTCGTGTTGAGCTGATCTCCCGGATGCAATGAGTGTGGCGCCGGGGCTGCTGCTGAGAGGTGCTGATGACGACGTGTGGCTGCGCATTGTCGTCCCATTGTGCCGGACAAGCCACCGCCGATAGCCAAGTAAAGAGGCGACGAAGAGAAGCACCGCCAAGAAGACCATCCTGCCGACTCGCAGGCAACGTCTGACTGCTGAGAAGGGGTAGCCACGTCCGCCGTCGTGCTGCCGAACAGTAACTGACAAGTCATGGCCGCCAGCATCGCTGTGGTTTGCCGAGAAGAACATCAGAAGGGCCCTTCGAAGCCGCCATTTGGGATTCTCCTTCATCCCTTTTCATTTCAAATTCAACACTCCGTCCGATGACCACATTCGAGAGCAGATGCGATCAGCCGCGGGCAGTGGTCCTATCAACGAAGCTGGTGGCCTCCTTGTTCTCCCTCCTTCCCTCGCCGCCACTGCGAGCTTCCGATCTGTTTTGCCGCCGAGAAAGGCAAAGAAAGGCGGACGTTTCTGCGAAGATCTAAGACGACCAGCAGACAGGGAGGAGTAAAAAAGCGAGAAAAGGCCATTCGATTCATCCCTTTCTGTTCCGTTGACTTGACGTGTCGCCTCACATGGAGAGCCCCGCTGCTGCAAAGGGGGCCTTTCTCCAGGAGCCAGCCGTCGGCCCAGCTGGTACAGTGGCCCACCGGCTCAAGTTCTCTGCCAAGTGCGCCAGGAGGTGTACTCGGCCCCTTTGCGGTCATCAATTCGGTCTGTTTCGGCGCCTCGCAAAGAGCAAATCAGCGGCCTGTATGTCTGAACCCATCTCCTTGAGGCGTCATTGCTCAGGGCCCGACATGCCACGCGAGCTCAGGTTCAGCGTGGTGTGGATCTGCGAGTGGCGGCGCCGAGTGCAGAGATGGAGAAGACCCCAGGCCCACACAGCCGACCCTTTGTGACAACCATTCACCATGTCAGTCCCAAGGCTGTTCATCCACAGGCAGCAGTGAGAGACACGGCGGCCACACTTGCACATATGGCTGACCGACCCACTTGTGTCTCTGTGTGGGTGCAGGTGCCGTACGCTGCTGATGTTATGCGTGGTCTGCCACCGCCAGGCCCACCACCCCCTGGCCAAGTCAGATGGCTTCCCCCCCAACCTGGGCCAGTGGACAGGTGTGGAGTGTAACACACGAGCAGCCAATGGGGACCACCCACTGATCATCACATCGCTGTCACCTTTGTTTGTATGGGATGTCTTTGTGCAGGTACCCGCGCTGAATAGTGTCGACAGGACAGTGATATGGCCGCCCACACCGACCGCCATGACAGTGCCTGTCTACACACCAACATACATCTACCATCAGGCCAGTCAGTGACCATGCCCATCGACTCATGTCATGCCTCTCATGCCGCACGCACACGTCTCTCTTTCTCAGTGTGTGTGTGTGCGTGTGCGTCGGCCTGCAGGCTTATCCCATGTTCGCCTTTGGTGCCCTCCGCCCATCGGTGCGTTGATCGAGGCTGTGTCATGTGATCGTCCGTGTCTCGTGTTTGTGCTGTGTGTGCTAGCAGCTGGTTGGTGGTAAGTAAGTCGGCTTCGGAATGAATATATCTTAGACGTGATCGCAAGCGACGTACTGGCAGAAACAATCCAAATGGCAGGAGCCATGCCATGCGGCCGACGAGCCAGCCATTCACTGTTTACAGCATCCAGACGCACGCACACACACTGACTGACATGGAGAGGGAGGCAGTGAATGTCCACGTCAGCGGGAGCAACGCAGCCATAAATCAGTCAGAACCACACGACCGTCCACGATCGAAGACAACGGCATCTGGTGGACAGATGGGCTTAGCTAGAAGGAAGGCCATGCGGTGACTGACATTAATTCGAATGTGCCCCATGGGTGCATGCACAGTGAGTCGGCATGTGCCTCACCAGCTAGAGCGACCGGAAGAACCGATTGATGCACAAAAAGTCCCACGAACGAACAAGCATCACAACAGAAATGCACACGCCCCTCCCCGCCCTCTCTACTCAAGTAGATCATCCAGATTGCTAAGGCCACCACCCGCTGCACTGTCTGTCTGTCTGCCTGTCTGTCCAAAGGCAGCCCGGAACACACAACCGCTGCACCCAATTCGTGCACCATCTCATGCACAAGTAGAGACTTAAACCAGCACTTCCTTCTCGCACTACCCTCACCCACTCACCTACACTCACCTACCCCCGCCCCCCTCCCTCTCTGTGCCCCTATATAGGCAGAAGGCCGCCCGCTATGCGGCCACCACCTTCTCGCGGATGAGTGCGGCTGTGCGAGGGTAACGCTCATCTGGGCGGCGCTTCCAAGCCACAGGGGGCTCGGTGGTGCAGATCTGAAGACGTTGGTCGACGGAGACAAGAAACTCATCAGCCGCCTTGTCCCCACACAGAATGAAGGTCGCCGAATGGCGCAGCAAATTTGCGTTGTTGACCCACCACGCGCCCGCTTTGCGGCAGCCATTCCACTTGCCCCGTGAGTGCAGTATGATGTCTTCCGTGAGCCGGTACTGGGTGGGAGGTGGAGTGATGAGTTCACTTGGGTGGGTGAAGTGGGGGCGCAGCCGGGGGTCCATCCCGCTGTACACATCGCCCAGGAAGACGATGGCGTCCGTGAAGGAAGAGAATACGTCCCTGCCACCTGCAGACAGAAAGCAGACGCGAAACAAACGATTCACACGTTCATTCACCTCTCTCTCCGCCGTCCCCCTCATGTGTGTGTTTGCTCTCCCTGCTGCTCTGCTCACATTTGGTCGGCGGGTCGCGATCAGTCAAATCGATGCTGACGTACGTCAGCGCATCGCTGTCTGCTGAGCCGCCCAGATAGTCGCGGCCGTTGACACACATGAGACCCACACACCGGCCAATGATCGAGAGACGGTGGCCAAATAGCGAGTACTGACGGACCGCCTGTGGTCGCGAGCTGAACACCGCTCGGCCGCCCGTTTGCTGCAGATCGTATGCCGTGATGACGATGGGCAGAGAGGGGAGGCGGCTGCTGTTCCTGAGGTAGTGGATGAGCGACACGCATCGGTCCCAGCAGCCGCCCTCCTCGATCACGTACAGCAGCCGCAACAGATACCCCACTCTGCTGTCGATTGGCAGCAGCACATGCGTCAGCTCACTCCAGATTAGACGGCATATTATGACCAAGCAGACCGGCGACAAGGTGCAGCGCAGCCATCGGATGACCACAGGGATGAGCGGCGGGGGGACGCCCAGCTGTCCAAGAACCAGTATCTCCTCTCCCAGCCGCACCAAAAAGTCCTCGCTGGCCCAGAGCCAGGTGATCTGGATCCCATCGATGAGAAGCAGCGCCATAAAACACTCGAGGACTATTCTGCCGATCGCCAGCGCCACACGCAACCCGCTCCTGACAGAGCGAGCGACGGACCGCAGAAGGTTGCCTAAGTCACCAAACGCCACCCAACACTGCCTATACGCTCGAACGATGAAGGACGCCTCTCCCAGTAATCGAACGACCGTTTCAACCACGAGGGGCGGGACGACCCAGGTAAGAAAGGAGACAGCCAGCTTGATGATCCCCTTGACAAGCAGCTTGATGCTCCACTGAATCCACGGTAATGCATCCAGCGGCTGCAGCAGAAAGTCAATCGGTGGTGGACGGATCAGGGCGCGGGTACGGAGGAAGATGAGGTTATAAACGACGCTGAGAGCGCTCAGGCCCACGGCAGCTTGAACGACAGTGAAAACACCTCTGACAATGGCCGCGATCCACTGCAGCAGAAGCAGCAGGACCGTCTCGCAGCGCTTCTGGTACGTCAGCACTCCACTGAGGCCCTTCTCGCGGATAGCTGCGTCGAGTCGGTCCGTCAGGTAGGCCTCGCTGATCAGCTCGCAGCCAACGCTCTTGGATGAGGCCCGGAGTTGGCCGCAGTCGTCGGCCGTGAGGGAGGCCAGCAGTTAGCTCTCCACATCCTCAGGCAAGCCCGCCAACCAACACCTGCTGGGGACCGACTGACACACACACACACACACACACACACACCCCGGCCCACGTGACGTACCCAATGGATGCTGTGTGGTCATCACGTATGGGTGCTCACTCACCGTTGGTCCTGCTCCGCTACTCGCCATCAGATCCAGGCAGCTCTATATCCTGACAAAGCACAGCCACACAGATACAGCACGGACAGTGTGCTTTTTGTGTCGGTGTTCTGTGCCCTCATGGGCAATGTGCTGCGCACCGGCATCAGATCTGCCGCCATAGAGGAAGAGCCACGGGGCAAATATCATCGCACTCCGTTGAATGACCACATTCGAGAGCAGATGCGATCAGCCGCGTGCAGTGGTCCTGCCCCTCCTCCTTTTCTTCCTCCTTCCCTTGCTTCTCCTTGCGAGCTTCCGATCGCTTTGCCGCTGAGAAAGGCAGAGAAAGGCGGACGTTTCTGCGAAGATCTAAGACGACCAGCAGACAGGGAGGAGTAAAAAAGCGAGAAAAGGCCATTCGATTCATCCCTTTCTGTTCCGTTGACTTGACGTGTCGCCTCACATGGAGAGCCCCGCTGCTGCAAAAGGCGCCTTTCTGCAGGAGCCAGCCGTCAGCCCAGCTGTCAGAGGGCCCACCGGCAGCATGGATTGGACATGGACAAACTGCTCAAGTTCTCACTCTGGCGGCTGCGCAAGCCTCACAGACAACAAGTGAGCCGACATGCACACAGCCTCCCATCGAGAGCGGGCACACTGGCGGCCCATTCACTATCCCTGCGTATGTTGGACCACTCCATGCACTGCGCTCTCTTGATGGGATCCCTTTTGGACGTGGGAGTGACCCGTGGGCTCTATTTGATGGGCTCATGAGCGGATGTGCAGAGGACCTGTTCGTCTGGCTTTTGTGTTTGAAACAGCCAGGAGAGCAAGTACTGCAGCAGTGGTCGGGGTGTCGGGGCGTGGGAGCTCGAGAGTGCGTCCCTTTTGTGTTGAGGCGATCTCCCGGATGCAATGAGTGCAGTGCCGAGGCTGCTGCTGAGAGATGCTGTTGACGATGAGCCGCTGCGCATTGTCGTCCCATTGTGCCGGACCAGCCACCGCCGATAGCCAAGTAAAGGGGCGACGAAGAGAAGCAGAGCCAAGAAGACCATCCTGCCGACTCGGAGGCCACGTCTGACTGCTGAGTGGGGGTAGCCACGTCCGCCGTCGTGCTGCCGAACAGTCACTGACACGTTATGGCTGCCAGCATCGCTGTGGTTTGCGGAGAAGAACATCAGAAGGGCCCTTCGAAGCCGCCATTTGGGATTCTCCTTCATCCCTTTTCATTTCAAATTCAACACTCCGTCCGATGACCACATTCGAGAGCAGATGCGATCAGCCGCGGGCAGTGGTCCTATCAACGAAGCTGTTGGCGTCCTTGTTCTCCCTCCTTCCCTCGCCGCCACTGCGAGCTTCCGATCTGTTTTGCCGCTGAGAAAGGCAGAGAAGGGCGGCCGTTTCTGCGAAGATCTAAGACGGCCAGCAGACAGGGAGGAGGACAGAAGCGAGAAAAGGCCATTCGATTCATCCCTTTCCACTCCTTGACGTTGTGTCGCCTCACATGGCCCCGCTGCTGCAAAGGGCGCCTTTCTGCAGGAGCCAGCCGTCAGCTCAGCTGGCACAGTGGCCACCCGGCAGCATGGATTGGACATGGACAAACTGCTCAAGTTCTCACTCTGGCGGCTGCGCAAGCCTCACAGACAACAAGTGAGCCGACATGCACACAGCCTCCCATCGAGAGCGGGCACACTGGCGGCCCATTCACTATCCCTGCGTATGTTGGACCACTCCATGCACTGCGTTCTCTTGATGGCATCCCTTTTGGACGTGGGAGTGACCCGTGGGCTCTATTTGATGGGCTCATGAGCGGATGTGCAGAGGACCTGTTTGTCTGGCCTTTGTGCTTCCTTGGTGATGGCCAACGGCCAGGCCTGTGGTGGTGCGCCTGAGCCTGCCAAAGAGGACAGCACCACCACAGCCAACACAGGCCGGTCAGTCAGCACCCACACACGTCTCTCTATTGGTGTCATGAATGCTCTCAATGGACATCGGTGTGTGTCAATGGCTGGCTGGCGTTGTGCAGATGGTGAATGGGCTGAAACACACCTACTCTGTGTGGCAAGGCGACCACCTTGCGGGCCTTCGGTCATCCGGCCATCCATGCGCAGCGGTGAGTGAGTGGGCGCGGCATCACAATTGAGACCTGCCAACCAGAGCACGTCATCAATGACATATTGCTGTCTTGTGTGTGGTGTGAATTTCGTTCAGATCTGCTGTGCTGCGGACTGCAGTTTTGCCGATCGGTCGGCTGGCGTGACGCCAGACAGTGCAATGGGCCACACACAGGCGAATGGGGAGGGAGACTGTGTGTGTGTGTGTTGTGTGGGAGTGCATTCACTCGCCCATCTAAGTGGTGTCTGCTGGCGGCGTATATGTGTGTGTGCGTATGTTCGTCGGTGTCGATTCGTTCCCCGTCTAGCCGGCTGCCAACACATACCATATCTGTGCGTATCTGTGTGTGTGTGTTCCTCCGAGGAGCTCGACAACTCCGTCTGTCTGCCTTTGCCTGTCGGTCGGTGTCAGACGGCTGAGGCGTGCACTCACTGTGTTTGTGTGGACGGACGGACTGCTGGCTCACTCACTGACTGACTGACACCTTCATGCGATGCGAGCGGACCACAGTGAAGCGAAGGTGTGATGCAGATGCTCATGTGATTGCGGTGAAGAGACGACCGACATGGACTGACTGACTTGTGTGTGCAGAATGTGTGAGTGCCAAACAGATCGATCCGCACACACACACAACGCGAACAACGAGACGGTGCATGGTGTGCTCCCGTGGCTTCGTCGTGGCCTTCCTGTGTGTGCGCTTCTCTGCTGCCTTGTCCTTTTGGGTGCGCATGCGCCGACGGGAGGGTGGCTGTCTGATGACAACAGACTCCTGACTGCCCATTCTCATGCATTATGCGTCATGTCTCTGGAAAACCGAAAGCAGTTCAATCGCTGCAGGCACAGTTGACGCACAGCGTCAGGTCCGTCTGAATGTACACGCAAATCCATCCATCCATCCATCCAGTTGTCACTAACGTGAGCACACACGCATCACGAAAGTCTCTCTCCGCGGCCGTACTCACATCACACAGCTGGGTGGCAGACAGACAGCCTGACACACACATGCAGACACACAACACACACATGTGCCATGGACAAAGTGACAAACAAGACAGTGTCTGTCTCTCTGTCTGTCTGTCTCTCTCACCCTCTCATCAGCCAATACGATGTGCCTCTACCACTGTCCACCGAGTTCGCCGAGGATCGGTGATGATAGTGAAGTCGCCGATCTCCACTTTGTCGGGAAGCAGCTGTCGAATGGCGCCGTCAAGGTCGTGTTGCATCGGCAGCAACACCACCACACGCCTCAGGCCGCGCACGCCAGCATTGAGCAAAGTTGCCAGGCTGTCGCGGACGAGCTCGGCAGCAGCAAGGGGCTCCAGCTCATCGGACACTGAATGACGACACACAGACAAGGCGGAAGGACACACAAGTGAACCGAAAGGCGCACTCACTGCCCTCCCGGCAGCATACCTGAGAAGTCAATGTGTATGTCGCGAATAGCTGGCGATCCTGGCGACCCCCACCCTTCAAAGGGCCCGCGGTGAGCGAGACTGATCGGATCCCCCTTCCAATGACCCACACGGACAGTGCGCACCTCCCTCCCCTCCCCCAGCGCCTCCAGCATAAGGCGTCTATCCTCTCTGCTCTCATCTTGATCAAACGGCACGGTCCCGACCTCCCTGGGCATCTTCTGCGCCAGCAGGCGTCCCGGAGTACCGCCCACACTACTCCTGACCCACAGACTGCACGGGTCTTCGGCCGTTGGGAACTGCTGCAGGTGTTCGATGATGGCGGAAGCTCGGGAGGGGGTGCCGGGAAGGGGAACGAAGCCACGGGCATTTTCGACCGTCACGATATGTGCCTTGTCGAATGAAAGGCTGTTCACAATGTCGATCGTCGTCTGGCTGGGGCTGTCGACGGGGTGGGTGAGGTCTTGCTGGCTGATGGTGTAGGTCACGTACCGCGCCTGCTTCGCCGCCTCCTGGATGGCCGTCTTGATGAAGCGGGATGGGCGAGCGGGGAAGTCATCGGCGTAGAAGAGTGACAGCTCGAAGCTTGCATACTTCTCTACGGTGGTGGGGACGGGGACGTCGGGTCGCGCGCAGCAGGTGCTGACGAACCCGTCGACATCCAGGAGGGCAGAGAGGCTGTGGTGGTTCTCGAATGGCGGGATCTCCACGTCGAGCCTCGTCAACGCCTTGCGGCAGCCACGCGACGTGAGCACACCCTAAAACCAAAGAGAGAAGGACACCATTGGTGCCTGCACACGCACAGATAAGACCTCTTATGTGTGATGATTGCCTACCTGGAGCCGCTTGATTCCAATCCGGTACTCCTGTACTGATTCCATAAAAGGCTCATGCACATACCCGATCCCTCTCATGGTCTGCAGGTGTCCGAGTGGCCCTGGCTGCCCAACAGGTGCTACGGGCATGCGCTCAAACGCGGTCGCCCACTCCCCCCAGGTCCAGCAACGCCGCTCCACCTCTTTCAGCGATGACGACGAGCTTATGAAGCGGCCCAGCGTCTCGACATCCCACCCCTCCTGATCGACATACTCGAGTGCGGGCATGTGCCAGCTTCTGTCGGCTAGGACACGGTGCTGTCGGGCGACTCCTGTAACGGTCCTGAGGGCATGGAGGGTCGGCGGGGGGGGCGAATGAAGGAGCGATAGGGGGACGGGGCTGCTCCACACGCTCGAGTGCGGGCATGCGCCAGCCCCTGTCGGCCAGCACACGGTGCTCTCGGAGGGCTCCTGTGACACCCTTGAGTGAGGGCAGGGTGGGGGCAGGGGTGACGGGGGGAGGGAGATCCGGATTCGACCGCTTCAGCTTGCGCAGCTCCGCGACAGTCAGCCCCACCGACTCGAATGCGATAGTCTGCAGCGCTCCTCCTCGCTGGCTGGCCGACTGTTGCGGCGCACCATGGCTGCTGAGCGGCTCGGCGGGCGTGGGTAGGGCGGCTGTGGTCTCGATAAAGGTGAGGAAGGCATCAATACACCACATGAGGCAGAATCTTGGGTGGCGGAGGGTGATCTCACGCAAGTGGGTAAGCCGTGCCGCTATCCGCATCACAAAGTCGAGAGGGAGTCGCTGCCAAAACACGAGTCCCTTTGTCCACTGCCAGTAGTCGTCGTCAGCCGTGGTGTCGCAGTCGATGACGAGCCGTGTCTGGAAGGCTGCCGCCT